TTTAGACAATGCTTGGAAGAGAGAAGGCACCAAGTAGAGGTGTAACTGTTAAATGTCAAGTAAGTCATAAAATTTTGGTAGTGAACCAGAATCATCTTTATGGTTTTCAGCTTAGAATATTTTTTATAAACCCAGAAGATTATTTATTCTAGACCTTTTCTAATATTATAATAAATTTCATGAACTGCTTTTCTTTCTATTCGTCCTTCTAGTTTCTTTTTCCTCTCATGGTTTTTATTTGTCTCTAAAAAAAAAAGATCAATTTTTAGGAACACAGAAAACATACCATACAATTTAGGAGGGACATAGATTATTAAATGCTTGTAGCCTATTAACAAATATTTTTATGAAGTTTCTGAAATGAGGGAGTGTTCCTGGAAAGTGGCCTAAGGAGACTGCATTTCTTTTTTGTAGAGGAATGAGGGTGTAGAGGGAAGAGGACTCTCAAATTATAGAATTAGTTGAGAAAAAAGAAAAAAACAGAAGATCTAGGGAACTATGTAAAGTTTGGATGGAAAAACAGACAGGAATCTGAGAGTCAGTACGAATGACTGTTTGTACATAAGCAGGTAAGAGTCTCCCTGAGTAGCAGAATATGTGAGCATAAACCTGAAAATCTCAGCAAAATATAAATAACATTGAAAGTATGGGATAATTCATGCGATCTACAGGAGAAGTTTTTAAAGCTATGTTGATTTTTGCCGGCTCATGTTGTGGCAGTGTTTTTCCGCAGCTCCCAAATTACTCTTTTTTGTTCTTGTATTTCATCCCTGGTGTCTCATTTCATCTCCAAAATTTCTAGAGTCAACCTGTAGGTAATATCAAGGCAACACAGAAACATCTACCCTCTCCCTTGCCCAAACGGGGGAGTATACAGAATCGTCTTTTTTTTTCCGCTCCCCTTTCTCCCCCCGCTTTTCAAAGTAAGCTAAAGATCGGCTGGCATCCTAGGTCTGAATCGAAAGGGTTAAAACAAGCTGAAGGAGTGGACAGGGCTCATCCCTCTGATTGTGGCCCTGGGGAACCACCTCGAGTTCATTGATCTACAGTTGTTGATCTGGACAGAATAATTGCTGCTCAACAGGAGCAGGACCTGCGAGTCTGGCAGGCAACCTGCAGTTCCATTACGAGCTCTCCGTTCGGGCTGTCATCAGCTTCCACGTCTGGGCAAAGCCCATGGCAATTGCTCTTGTTCCTTCAGCAAAGGCTGTGACACCGGAGAAGTTTGCCAGTTCTAGCTTGAGGCATTTTTAGTTACGTGATCATCCTGTTTGGACAACAGGTGAGATGAAGTAAGCATGCTCAAGTCACTCAAAAGCTATTCCGAGTTTCGAAACGCATCGGCATTTTCAGATTAAGCATATTAGTACATATGGAAACATAAAGGTTGGGATTTTTTTTAATAACAGAATTTTAAGTAGTTAAACTTAGTTTAAATTAAAAGTTAGTGCTTTTGTTGTAACTTAGCAATATTGTTCCACTTCTGCATCCTATCTGTTCGGTTGTATGGCCTGTCCGTACTCTTTGCTTATGATTTCTTTACATTGCAAAGATTGTTATTTCTTCTTCATTTGTACTGCCTCCAGCATGACGAGCCGCTGTGCCCAGCTAGGCCAGAACAAGCACGCCTTCCTGAGTGACACCTGAAAATCGTTAGTGATGGTTACTCTTTCTTCTTGCTCTGCTTGTATTCACTTGCTAGTGACTATCTGCATTTCAGAACCTTATTATTTTAGTGTAAGTAAACATCTGAATCATCGTCAGTGTGTCATTTTCCCATCCTTCAGAGAGGGGAAAAAAAATCAATAGCATTGTAATTTTATCTGAGGTTGAATGAGCTCTTAAATGCTGCAGGCTCAAGCACCTCTTTATTTATTTATTTTATATTTTAGAAAGCTTTGTAAGCAGTCAGACTTTTGTCGTGCTAGCTGTTTATCCATGCAGGAAGCCCGGTTTCAGGAGCAATCTCAGCACACCAGCTACCTTGATCAATGAAAACCAGCGTTTTGCTGAAGTCACTTCTTTGATCTCCTCTGGGTGATAAGCAGCTGTGTGTCCCCTTCTGGTTTAAGGCAAGCGCAGTGCAGAAGAACTGATTCTTCTTCCAAATATCAGTTCTTTTAAGCGTTGTGTTAGCAGCCAGCACGTCAGGCTGGTTGTGTTCTTACACACCCCTACGCGTGGGATGATGGCAGAGTAGTTCAGCGAACGAGGAGGGGATATTACGCTTGGGGATAAATTGCAATGACCTCTTAATTCTGTTTAAACGCAGCTTGAGTTAATCAAAACAAATCTGAGTTTGTAATGGCGCTTTGTAAGTGCAGAATGATACAGAATTTAAAATACTTTAACAAAATCATTAACATTAAATTCTTAAAGCAACACACGGCGTCAGTGACTTCTGTTGGCTGTAATGGACTGTGTCCTATAACCTCAGAGATTTGCTGCTCTGTAGATTTATGGGCTAAGTTAAATTGTTGTTAATGAGCAATTTTGGGTAGAGAATTGTCCTCATGATACTTGGTAAATTGCTACATTGTCCATATAATTACCCAGGACTTGAAAGGGCCTGCCTGCTTCTGCTGGCTGATGTTTCCCGGGTAGTTAGAAGGGCTGGAAATTAGCGGTTTGAAGTTAACATACCCAAAATGCAAATGTGGTCACAGACAAGAAACATCGTTTACATATGCTTTAACATCTCTGTTACAGAGCTGCCCAATGGGTTGTTCCTCTGCAGCAGCAAATCAGTACGGAAGAACAAAGTAGCATAGTGGAATAGATAAATCAAATTTAGGCATGGTAGTTTATTGAATCTAAATTGTGCCCAGTTGGCCCACGAGCTATATAAGCAATCCATCTTGTGTTGATAATGGAGGTTCTTGAAATCCACCTGATGTTTGCATTATTAAATTTCAGCCTAATGAGCTCTGCTAATACATATTGAAGACAGTTGTAAGGAGCAGAATGTGAAGCTGAGCGGGATAATTTGAAAGAAACGTAAGCTGAGCATTTTACATGACTCAAGGGGTATATCTACAATTACACATATAACCAAAATTGAATTTAAATGGAATTTCTATTATCCTTGTCCTGCTACCAGGGAGAATAAAGTGCAAATGAAGTAAAAGTCTTTAGAGTTACTAGCAGTTTGTTTTTATTATCTAATTTAATACATTCTCGTAATGATGTTCACTGGCAGAAAAGTTTTCATATTTCATGACTTTAAATGTAGTGTAAATATATATAAAAGCATGTAAATGGAAACAGATGTCTATGTAATTACTTGTATCGTTTTGTAACACCACTATTTAAGTTGTATATTTTAAGAAGGTGGAGCTACTGGCTGCACAGAGGCGTCGGGAGCTGAAAGACCTAATCACGTGGTACTCGTTTTCTTCAAGCTCAACTCTTGAATTTTGTATTCATAAATTATTGCTTCATTAAGGAGGTGGTTAAAACTAAGTACATGCAAAACTGAATAAGCATTTGTTATTTATACCACAGTTTACGGTGATGTTGTTGCATAAGAAGACTTGGTCTAAATTCTAAATCCTGTTTCTTTTGCTTCTTTCCCTTTTGACACGGTGATACTTTTAAAAACTTAATATTTCATCAAGTATAATGTTATTAGGGACTTATTCTCACTTAGTTCACTCATCAGGCACTGAGATGGCAATAAAAGAGAATGGCTCCTTTGAGACATTAATGCTTTGGAATAAATGATGTGCTAGAACAGAAATTTAATTAATTTACAGAGTATATTGATAGTCCCTTGTTCCTGTGCTGTATATTTTTAATCTTCTTTAACATCTGTAGCAAAGTGTTTAAAAACCCCTGCAGTTGAGCAACTAGTAGATAATTAAGTAATAAGGGAAGAGGTTTCTAGAGGGAAAAAGATTCTTTTTAGAAAATACTGTCATAACATGAATAAAGTACTGCTGCTATGATTTGCAGTGAAGAAAAAATAATATGCTACCTAATTTAATACTAAGTAATAAGCATCTGCCTCCTGTTTTAAATGCAGTCTGCAACTCTGCATCCCTGAAAATGTTGTTTTGGGTTTTTTTATCTGCAAAAAGGTCTTATGGATTACTCACTATGGTAGCAAATCTTTTTAAAATGCACTGCATTTGTCTCTTTATGGTTTGGTTTGGGGGCAAATAGCGTAGAGAGACTTATATTTAAGGAAAAACTCTTAAAAGTTTTACTTACAAAAAATGTGTGTAGCAATTTATATTGAACTAATATTGCATACAGAAGTTACCCTGCTTAATACCATTTATGCTGTTGTCTTAATAGTAGTAGTACCTTGAAAGAAAATACATTAAGAATGAAATTCTGTTCTTACATGCGCACTGACTTCACTCTGGGACCTGCAAAAATGAATCTGAGATTGGTTTAACCCCCCAGGAACTGTTGTTTGGCAAGGTAAATTAAGTTAACCAATTATAAAATTTGTTTTTATTGTTCTTTTGTTTTCTTGTTAGCTAAAGCAGATGAAGCATTAAAGGCGAAAGAGCGAAGTGAAGAAGAAGCAAAGAAAAGAAAGGAAGAAGGTAATGCAGTTTTTTTCTTCACTAACAAACTAAATCTGTGGTAAGTCAGAAATCATTATTTTTGAGGAACCAAGTTCCATGGGGAGGTTCTGTGATTTTCTTTAAAGGAGGTGGATGGTCTTCTACTCGTCCTCTTTTTGATCGCCACAGCTTTCTGCTTTTGGCAGGTAACATTCCTATGGCAATAACAAGAATTGCTAAACGTATAAGAAATTTTAACCGGATAGTTTTTAATATTTTAAAATTAAATTAAAATTGCCCTTAAAGCAACCTAATAGTTTGAAACCAAGTTAGGTGCTAAGCCAGTACCATTGGTTTGTGTGCTGGATATATTGCTTGATTAAAATAATATGCTGAACGGTTAGTTAATTTGTCTGTATGTTTAGTCTGTCCGGTGTCAAGAACTGCGCTAATCTGTTTTGCAATGAAATTCTGCGCATTGAAGGCTGGCAGGTTTTGAGCTGCTACCCATTGCAAGACCGTAGGTGGAAAGTTAACGTATAATGACTGGATAATTAAAACAAATGTATTTTGCTTATATGTCATTGAATAATGGGAAGAGACATTTTCAGCTGTGTGACAAAGCCTATGCAAATCCAATGCGAAGGAGCCTGCAAGGTTCTCCTATCAGCTGTGATAGGCTTCCCTGTCTCAGAGAAAACATCTCGATGGTTCAGTTGTGTTGGAACAATTCTACTGTCTGTACTAGCTACTGTTTTTACATTGGTTTAGAGATACAAGAAAAGTAGTGAAAGTCTTCACATCCCTCATGCAGTGGTTTAACTCTAGGGTGTGCGTTGTCACGCAGTGGTCACTACAGTGAACATCTTCAGCTTGTTTGTCTTAAATGAAGATAGGTTTAAGGATGTAATTTTTATTTAAAACATTGAACAGTCTCCATGTAAGCATGTTCCTTGATTTTTCCCTGCCCTTTGCCCCTTGACTACCTACTGAGGATTGAGTGGATGTTCACCACATTGCATCAGATTTTTAACTACCCAGTAAACACGACCCCGATTTCTAGGACAATGTACTGTTGTAGGAGATGATGTGTTTATGAGAGCAGACCTTTTGATAGATTCATTTGCTATGAAAGTCAGTGTTGTGCCCAAATGTCAGTGGTATTTTGGTTAAGGGCCGAGTGTCATTTATGGGGAGAGTGATGTAAAGTCAAGCTCTTTGAGACAGCTTGAAAATTTAAGGATACGTTAAGAGACTGATGTATTTTTAGTTCCTAGTGTGATATGACAATAAAACCATTAGGCTAACCTTAAAACAGGAAAAGTCTTGCAAAGGGAAGAGGTAATAGCTTGGATGGGAATGCAGTGAAGGGAAGAAAATAAGGAAAGTGGAGTGTAGAGAAGTTTACATGTTTACTGTGTCATCTGCTCCACTCTTTCGGAGTGTAGAGAAGTTTACAATTTTACTGTGCCATCTGCTCCTCTCTTTCCAAAACATCATCTTACTTTACAATCGCTCTAAATTTATTTGAAACTCTTCTTGAGTCTACCCACTCTCTTCCCGTCTCTGGGCACACTGAGTTGAACTTCAAGGTAAAGATAAAGAACTTTATTTTTGCTGCATCTCTCTCCTTTTATCTTCCTTGCCTCCCAGGTACCAGTCTGAGATATAGATATAGATATATATTTTTAGGGCCTGCTCCAAAGGCTCTGGGTTTTATGGAAATTTTTTTTTACAAATGTATTTGATTTTGGAACCAGCTATTAGCAAGATTTTTGGACTAGGAAAAGATATCCTACCTGTTTCCATGTTGCTCTTTGTTCCTAGGTAGCAACTTGAGTTTCTGTTTCTTTGGTTGCAAACTTCTCTGATTTTCTTACTATATATTTTCTTACTACATATGAGCCTGAAGCCTAAAAGATTTCTGAAGTCTAACTCAAGCCTAAATAATTTCTGAAGGCAACCTAAAGCTTATTTGTGCTTCCTACACAGACAAGCTTCTTAAAGTCCTCATGTGTGAATGAGAAAATTAAGTATACTTTGCGGTTCTGATTCAGATGGCTGCCATTTTACAGGATTTATACATTTTTCCATGATTTCCCACCCCTTGTTTGTTTCTAGATTTAGATGTCTTTAATAAGCTCCAAATTGTGGGACTTACCGTGAAGCATGGCGAGTGTCTTTCAAAACTCTAATGTAATCTCTATTAAAAATTCATGTGATTGATCCTCTTGATCTGGTTTTCTCTAAGATAGTCAAGAAAATTAATGTTTTGCAATATTAGGTTAATCCAAAGGAATTAGTGCGTATTGACTGCTGTAAAAAAAAAAAAAAAAGAAAAGAAAAAAAAGAAACACCCCAAAAACCCAGCAATCCACAAACTCGTACACTTCACCGTGGACGAAATTGCCGTCTTTGGTTCTGCAGTGGAGTCCTGTTGTCAGGCGTTTACCAGCTTCTTGGCATTATGCTCTGTTCAGCCCTCACCGCTGTCCACCCATTGGGCTCCAGTTAGAGGACTGGTTCATTCAGCAGGTAACTTCCACTCGTACCGCGTTCCTCGTGAGTACGGGCTTACTGTGCTCCTGCCTAAGCTGCTGCTGCGGCCCTGCACAGTTTTAGGTACGTTATTTAGGTCTTACTGAATATCTCGTACCTGAAACTCTTGCTGCACTTGACAAAAGTGTACAATATAACGTAATTATCTTTGAAAAATTTAAGTTAATCCATTGCATTTCTTTCTCTCTTTGGAAGAGGTTGGAGGTGTTCACATTTGATAAACTTTTAGTGTAATGATGTTTAAAAAAAAAGGTGAAATGAAAGCTTTTTCTTTACTTCAGACGGTACTGGGCAGTCATTGCATCGGAAGGAAGTCTTTCCTCCTGCTCGTCCTGCCGGCTCAGTAGCACGCTGCAGGTGGCTCTGCCGCTCTGAAGTCTGGGGGCTGTGTTTGAGCTGCTTCAGGGGCGCGTTCAGCTCTCACGGTCGCTCTCTAAATAGCCGCTTGAGGTAGGAAAGAGGTCGTCTCGTCTGTAGGACGTTGATGAACGCAGGCACGCAAGCCTGAGGTTTGGAGTGGGAGCGCTCCAGGAGCGAGCAGGAGGCCGAGAGCCGCC